TACAGGGTGTGTTTATCTGTACAGACAGTCACATGAACCTTAATATACAGGTGTGTATACCTGTACATACAGCTGTGCGTTAACCTGTATAGACAGTTGTATATACCTGTTTATACAGGTGTGTGTTTGCCTCTACAGACAGTTATGTTACCCTTTATAGACAGATGTATTTACCTGTATATAACAGTGTGTGTACCTGTATAGATAGGTGTGTGTTCACCTGTATAGACAGGTATGTTTACCTGTATAGTCCCTTACCTGTACCTACAGGTGTGATATTCTGTATCTATCTGTATGTGATATCACCTTCATCCTCTATCACATCTCATGGCCATGTGCTCTTACACAAACATCAAATACAACAGTTTACATTTTAGTTCTGTTGTTTTATTTATTGACAATCGCTGTTATGTTAGACATCATCCCTAACACACATATTCCAAACAATTATGGTAAGCCAGCAACAAAACACATCTTATTTCTTACATAATCTTAGATTTTCTGTGATAAGGAATTTTGTCTTTTCATCAATACTATTTACAATTTTATGAACACATGAATTATGTTACGAAGAATCCTTAATTCTGCACTAAATAAAAAGTCCAACAAAACTACTAACACAATACAAATCCAATATTTACATGTTAATCCTAAAACAACAAAACCACAGAAAGGGCAGAGAATACAATGTAAAGTCGTCAGTATTGGACATGTCAAATATGTTCACACAAGTTGACATCATTTGTACACTAAATAGTAGCTTAAATTTAACGTCCATTGATATGTACAGCTCATAAAATGAAGACAAGAACATATTCTGTTCACCATTGAACTTTTAACGTATGCCACAACGGAATATACAGCATCTTGACAAAAGTATTCGCGTTTTCCCCAAAACTTAAATTTCATGCGTTTTAACCTTTATCTTATTCGAATTTTCTGGGGCTAATAATAGCGCTTTTGAAACAAAATTGATGTACTGAAAGATAGGTTCATATATAACAATCTGAGAATATTTTCATACATGTGTGACGACTTGTTTTCGAGATATGAAAACGTTATTCAGGTGAAAACGCCATTTTTATTCTTTCTTAAAAAATAATGGCTGTGGAATTTCACTTCCGAGAATAAGTCACCTGCAAAGAATTCCACTGAAAATGTTAAAATGTTGTTAGATAAGACATCAATTAATCATCTTTCAGGGTGTCCAATTTCATTTCAATGTCGCAATAATTGGCTCCAGGAAAATTCAATGAAAAAAAAGGTTGAGTAATTCCGGACAAATTGCGAATGCTTTCGGCACGATGTTGCATTATAACAAATTGCTTCAAATTATAGTAGTAATCCGCGAATAAGCACATTTCTAAAGGTTTAGTAAGTTGATGCAGAAAGCCACACAAAGCAAACGTTTACTGCACCACGTGATCATTGCGCTCATTTGAGACTGGTCCGTAGTACCACGGACCAGAGACTAATTCCGTGGTAGTACTGAATTAAAAGACAGATATCCATGTCGAAAGCATTTCGGAGCATGAAGAATACAACAAATGGGGGAAGACGCCTATATAATCCTTTATAATATTTAAAACAACGTTTGGCTTCAACAGATCGTTTGTGTTTGAATTAGTATTTGAAGTAAACCACGAAAGAAAAACATCCAACTGCAAGGTTACTGACGGCTGTCCTCAGGGACTGATAAGCTATTAGCTTAGTCAACTCCGTTATGTCGTAAAATAATCGCTAGAGATACGAATCAAGAAGACAACTATTTAAAGATTCCGTAGGTCGAATCGGAAAGCCAAACAAAGTATAAATTGACTGCACCATATTGTTATACCGTCCATTTACAGCTCACCAATGGGTCTAAAGAATGAAAATTCATTTCTAAAATGTTCCGAAACAATATTAAATATAGCAAACTGGAAAAAGTTCCTGTAACTCGTTCTGTATTAATACCCTGCCCATACAACAAATCGGCAAAACTAACCTTCAACGGTAATTAAGGAACAAGAATAACCAATGGATGAAGAACTTGGTACAACCTTTATCAGAAGGTTGCATCAAGTAACTACCTGCCGTGTAGTCTAGACCTTTCACCATTTTCAACGTAGATTCAAAAGTCGGGAAATGATTCTTCTGTGACACCAACAACTTGAAATTCAAAGGACCAGGATACAAAACGTCGGGAACATAAATCTAATTAAAGTTATATCTTCACATCGCTCCCATTTACTGTATGTCACTTTCACGCGAATTATCAGTAAACGGTATCGATGTGAAGATATAATTTGAATTAGATTTGGGGAACATTGACTTCGTATATGATAAAAGAATGCTGTCTTACGTTTTACAACAGACAGACAGCTTCTGTGCCGCACCAAGGAGCACATAACTAGTAATCAGTTCACAGAACACCTAGTATTTGGGAGCAAATGCTACGCGTTCTAGACCTAGTATCATTAAGGTTAACCAGCAAGGTCAGTTATCTAGAGATATCATTCTGAGCAAAGCAGGATGCAGATATCAAGACGAGGGTTGTCAATATGTTGTATGCATTTGTCGCTTTCACGGCTGTTTGGAGAAACAAAATATCCTGTTTGAAACTTAACTGAAATGGTTTAATTCCAAATACGGAATCATTGGAGAACAAGATGCAGAGTTTTGCCAAAACCTGTCTACAAAAAAATATAGCATTCTTAAAGACTACATCTGAGACTAGAAAGTATGACTAAATACAGAACAGAAAACAGTACGGCATACATCGAAGCGCAAATGGAGATGGAAGGTACATATTCCGTGAAGAAACCAATCCAACATCCCATATCATACGCATGAGCAAGATTCTTAAAGCATGAGGAAGAGAATTTCAGACTGGGCATGGCAAAGAACACACGATGTGAAATCGATGACCATCCCTATGACAAGGTGTTGTAACGAAGCAGGCAGCCCAAGAGACACTGATGGAATACCAGTGGAAGTCCCCTTTTTTAAGTTACAAGAGAAATCAGGAATATTAAACTGTTTATTATAAGCAGGTATAATGTATTAACATTGTTGCTATTTCATTGACAACTGGTGTGATAGCACATATAACATATTGTAATAGATACAAATCTACATCATACTGACTCGACGTTACTAGGACTAGGGAGACACAGCAATCACTACAGTATAGACCAATCACTATAATGTTTACACGTTTCAATCGTATACGGATTTGTGAAATTGTAATGAATTATAAAGTTATCGTCTGTACGGAGGTCTGCGTCTGGGTTGATAAGTTTGGGTATGTACATTGACTTGGCTTGGAACAATTTTTACCACAATTACGAGTTAAACACACATGGCGATAAAATCATCCTATAGAAATCCAAAAGAAATGGAAAACATTATCTGATAAAATTCAAATCTACATCCGTGACAATGCATTAGTTGGGAACCGTCAGGCCATTAAATATACATCTGAGATTATGTTTTTAATAGGAGCTCTCGGGCCTTTCCGGGTGTACGTAGTCGGCCGGTTTATCCAAATGCGCTCATTTTCACGGAAACACCGTAATACAATACTGAATCAGGACGCATATCTTTTACATACCAGATAAACTTAGTCAAACCAGATAGGAATATAGGAATCCGTATAATTAAATATGCTGCATACGTTTCAAACCTTAATTTTTGACAGCATCCGCAAAGATTTCGATATTTATAAGCAGTTGATGAATGGTCTGTCTCGTTACTTTGGGGCAAGTAAACATCTTATTGCTCATTTAGACCAGGGGTGATTGACGCCTCCGTTCATAGTACACTTTCCTATCGACAGTGGTATACTGAAAGGAGGAGAGAGAAAATATGCAGTAAACTCTTTGTAATATTCTTTAGAATCTTTGTCATATCATTTATTGCCTATGTTGAAAGAATTCATTTTCTGGTACTTCGACAAAAAATCACCGAATAACTCCAAATAACATTCACGAGTAGAAGGCCTATTGACGTTGAACTGCTGCCAGCTTCATCGTGTAAAATGAAATCTACGCTGCTGTCGAAAAATCAGTATCGTGAATTCCAGCCTCACGTAATGGTGGTCGCCATGATCCTCTCCTTTACTGAATTTGTTTGTACTTTAATTCCTCTCACTTTTTCAATCTTGCAAAAGCATGACCGTCGGCAGGTCAACGTCTCTTGGCGATTCTGGTCTTTTACACACTTTGCTAATCTTATTCATCCCCGTAGTGTTCATTTGGGTACGTATTAGATGTGCAGGTTTGCTAGTCAAGTAGTTATATATTGTTTGCAGCCAACAAGTGCTGACAGAGTCTTGCAAAACAAGGACGTACATTGTACTGTTGAAACGCTAAACTGTGTTGATGCGCCAAGGGAAAATGTGGGGTCGCAGGATCTGGAATTTGTAGCCGACAGTGGTTATATTTCCGCTGACAACAACTTAAGGTGTTTAAACATCATAAGCTATCCCTCCGCACACCATAACATCATTGATCCCGAATGGGTTTGTAGTTGTTTCCATTGCGGAAGATGCATGGTGCGATTCTGACGACGGTTAGTCGAGGAGGACCACTCCTTGGTAGATCAGAGGCTCATCCAGTGCATCCGGATGACCTCGGCCCTTTCTTTTTCTTCTAGATGATAGGGGCAATGTGTTCCGGGTGCTTTCAGTGTTTGTATAAAAAATATTTACACTGCGAGTAGTTTATGTTAATACAATCTCCTTGTCATTGTATAGTCAGTCAAACGTTTGACCGGTAATTTTCCCGCCAAAAGAAATCATTATATATTCTGCCAAAATACATCCACGATTGTTGATATTTCTTTAATAATTATACTTGTATGTATTGCACATGTATAATGAAAGATTTTCATGAAGCATAAAGAAATATTACAACGAAATAATAATCTAAGAGTATCTAGTCATTTAGTTTACCGTTCGAAATGAAACTGCTTGTGACATTTTCTAAGAATAACTACTTTCTGTTTCATATTTTCACGAAACGGAACAATAACAAACAGGTACGGGAACTTTCTTAAACTTGTTGTTATGTTATCGTTTGACACTCCTCAATCAATAGGTTATAAATAGGAATGAGTCACAATATCTATTTTGGTAGCGGGAATTCCACTGACGAACATGATGTAAACATGTACCCATGTCTACAAGGGACAAGACTTCAGACGCAAAACACCTCAACCAACCAACCAACCCACCTACAGGGAACACAGAAAGAGGCAGACATGGAGACTGGACGTATTTTATGGCTGGTCATCGCTACCATTATGATACTAGGCTTTTCACAGGTCAGATACATGTAAGTATTTCAACGGGTTAAGTTTTTGGCGTTTGACAGTCAAAAATAAAAAAGTAATTCAGAACTGGATATGGACTTGATAAGGGTGGTATAATATTAACTTGGGATTGGGATGTGTTCGAAATGGCATGGAACTGGAACTTTGTATTGCTTCGAACATACATATTAACAGAAAAACCTTTAATTTACATTTTAAACTGAAATAAGAAACTTCCGTTCAATTTCTTGTTAACTTATTCTATGTAAATATTTGACAGAATGTAGCTAGGCTGACGTGAAAATGTCCAATGAAATACAATGGTTTGTGTAATGTCAAAGCATGAAGTTGAAAGTGAACACTCGAGGTCGAAATTTTGAACAAGCTGGATAAAGTACGTATGGCCGATGACGTAACAAATAGGACATTGAGCTACGGGTTTCAGCGCTAGAATGTGTGTGTGTCACTGTAGCTTAATCATATATCAAATTGATATATACATGTATCTATATATTATCTCTCTAACTATTTAGATTATACATGTGTTTAATGTATATCCCCCGCTCATTGGAAAATTGCTGGCGTATATCTAACACTATAACAAACAATAAATTGAATAAAAAAATAATCCTGGAACATTGCACCATCGAACCAAACATTGCACAGTAGTCAGTACCTTACTCTAAAGTGATGTAATCTGTAATTTAGGACATATTCAAGGTCCCCTGTTCAATTGTACAAATATACATATATATATTTCCATAGTTGTGAATAAACAGTATGACTTTCTCGTTTTCAACTATTTTATCTTTGACAAATCTAATTAAGATTTTTTTGTTATTTTACTCACAGAGTCGAAGACAAATCTATAGATGATAAAATGATGAAATATTACAACTAAATTATAATCTAAGGCTATCTAGTCATTTAGTTAACCTTCCGAAATGAAACTGCTTGTGATATTTTTTCTGAGAATAACTACTTTCTGTTTCATATTTCCTTGAAACGGACTATCACGAATATCTATTTTGGTAGCGGGAATTCCACTGGCGAGCATGATATAAACGTGTACCAATGTCTACAGGAGACACGAATTCGTCAGTGAAGTGTAGACGTAAAGGTAAGCAATGCTTCACGAAATATCCGAAATAATGTAATCTTATATAATCAAATTCCCTTGGGGTGTAGGTGTGTCAGTAATTAATTGCTTTCTCGTTTTCAATTATTTTACCTTTGCCAAATCCAATTAAGACTTTTTTGTTATTTTATTCACAGAGTCGAAGAAAAATCTAAAGATGATATAAATGAGGCATCAGTGACAGGCGACACTTACAAACTTGAAATCAACAAACGAAAAGTAGAAGATGACGCATCCATAATGAAGACATACGACCAAATATTTGAAGGCATTTTAGAGAATGATGTAACGATGACAGACGAAGATTACATACCAGTAGTCAACGAACAATCAGTAAAGGATGTACATGAGGCAGCGACTAGAGACGACGGGGTTCTCCGCTCACGGAAAACCCTGAAAACCCTGAAAACCATGAGAGTCCCTAGCTTGGTGGACCGTAGCCATAACCCAGAAAGTCCAAATGCGGACAAAGAAACGGCAAGAAGAGACAGGTCGAATATTCCAAGGTAGGTTCACTTGATTTAGCCTTATTTTAAGGCTAATTCCTGAAACAGATTATGTTTGTTTGTCTGTTGATTAACGTCCTCGCAACAGCCAGTGCAAAATATGGTCGGTAATGTAATGATGGAAGAAGCTCAAATTTGGTGTCTTGCATGTCCTCTCAGTAGAAGACACAGACGAAAACCCCGTATTGGCCTCTCTTTCGATCATGTAGTGGGTAACAGCAGGTCTATTCTTGTCTCTCCTCCCCAACTCGAAGGGATGACAGATCATGGTTATTCTCTATTTAGTTTACATGTAAACCAAAGACATACGAAAGGTCCATGGCAAGTCATTTCTGGCTATCAAAACACAGATATCTATTCCTTACAATGTATCCTTTTACTTTTGGCCAACATGAGCTGTAATAATTTCGACATGATATACACCATGCACTTGATTTCTTAGGCTCAAATTTCTCACTAAGCTTTGAACTACATCAGTGAGAGTGTTATGGTGAGGAAAGCACTGAGTGATACCGTACGTAAGGTGTCCAGACACCGGTCTGCTGTTAAACATGTATTGGTTCGATTTATAATGCCAATTTCATTCTAAGTCGGCCTATACTTGAGGAATTGCATATCTCTTTGAATATTTATGAGATTGTAATTTACACACGAAGTGTAAAAGTTCGTTTGAGAACACTTCAATGTTCCAACCCTAAAATGGAAACTAAATTTAAAAAAAAAAAAACATTACCTTTTAAAATGAGCATAAGGTAAAACATGTTACTGGTAGGAGAGACTAGCTCGGGAATTCGCCAGTATGTCATAGAATACAAATAACTGATTGGTATATTTGTGTTTTGTGTTTTTCAGGAGCCAGACAGGACACAGGATCGTAAAGAGAGACCCTCCCCAGTGGAAGACACTGCTGTATGGTTAGTCATTAAGTCACATACCATCTCATGATCATTAGAATCAACTTAGTCATGTTGGCCATGTTAAGGATCCAGGCATTGCCAACCGGAGTTACCATATCGGAAAGTTTTGCGGAGTGTAAATCCAAATGGTCCGGGGTTCACAACCGGAGTTGCAGCATCGGAGATTTCCGGAATGCAACTCCAGCGGATTTCGGCATTTACAACCGTCACAGTTAAAGTATCGGAGTATCCGACTTCTCCCCGGGTTCACAACGGAGTGAAGGCAGTAGAACTGGGAACGGATAGGAGTAAATCCTAGTCAGGTTTATTCCAGTTTCATGGTAGTCATGATCCCGAGTCGTTGAGGTAACAAACTATATTTGTATCAGACTAATTTGTGAAGCAGCTTCTGTTTTCTTTACATCCAGAATTAGGGAGGAAATAAATGCAATACGTTCGTATGTCAGTTTGAACCTAGCGGGAATTGAAAAATCGAAACATTTGCAAATTTAACTTTGAGCTCAGAGTTCTATTAATACACTTATATCACCCTATAGACATATCATACGCAATTGTATTGACACTGAATTGTGTAGTAAAATTGAAGTGTTTGTTAAAATTTCAAAGCACTACTTTGTTTGCCTATCAGCACGCTACAACATTTGTGTGGACTGTCGATAAGGCGGGATTTTAAATTTTTGATATAAATTGTAAGTTAAAAAAGAACATACGAGGCAGGAAAAACGTAACTATAAGTATTGAACTGAACTGTTGACACAGCTTTGCATTATTTGTTTATGTGTTATATTTCTAATAAACCGTTGTTGCATCAAATAGTATATATTTTGTTTAATTTTGTTATTTTTTTTAAAATCGAAATTTCATAATTTCCCCCAAAATCTGAAGAAACTCCCGCAAGGTATGGGTTATTGTTCAGAAATGATTTGCTTGTGCAATAGCGATGCTGTAGAAAAACAAGAGGCCCAATGGGCCTGCATCGCTCACCTGGTATTAATCTCATACTTGTAATCTTAAAAGTGGACTAAAATACAGCTACAGGCAGAATATCAGTGTTTGATTCATAAGAACCTATTAAAAGATTTTAACATATGACGCCTGTGACCTTGAATGTCGAACATGGACATTAGGTTGAACAGAGCTTATAGTCTTCAAACCCAGCATGCCTCTGGCAAAATATCATTACCCTGGACCTTTCGGTTATACAGAACAAATCATTTAAAGATTTAAACATATATTGACCACTGTGACCTTGAATATGGGCGAAGGTCATTCACTTGGTAGTCCTTCATCCCAGCATGTGAATGGCCAAATATCTTCACCCTTGGCCTTTTGCTTATTAAGAAGTCGTTTAAAGGTTTTTAACAAATTTGACCCCTGTGACCTTGAATATATGGCAAGGTCATTCATTTGAACAAACTTGTTAGTCCTTCATCCCAGCATGTTACTGGCATTATCATAGGCCTCTTGGTTATTCAGAAAAAGTTGTTTAAAGGTTTAAAACATATTTAACCCCTGTGACCTTGAATATAAGTCAAGGTCATTCATTTGAACAAACTTGGTAGCCCTTCATCCGAGCATGTTACTGGCAAAATATCGTCTCCTTATCCCTCTTGGTTATTCAGAAGAAGTTGTTAAAAGTTTTTTTTTGCATTTGGACAAACTCTGTAGTCCTTTATTCCAGCATGCTACTGGCCAAATATCATCTTCCTATGCATTTTGGTTATTCAGAAGAAGTTGTAGTACAGGTTTTTAACATATTTGACCCTGTGACCTTGAATATAAGTCAAGTTCATTCATTTGAACAAACTTGGCAGCCTTTCATCCCATCATGCTACAGGCTAAATATCAGTACCCTGGGGCTTTTGGTTATTGAGAAGGTTGTTTGAAGATTTTAAGATATTTGACCGCTATGACCTTGAAAGTCAGTCAAGGAAATTTATTTGAACAAACTTGGTAGCCCTTCCCAGCATCCCAGCATGCTACTGGTTAAATATCATTACCCTAAGCCTTTTGGTTATTGAGAAGAAGTAGTTTAAAGTAAAAAAAATTGACATTGGTCGACGGACGGACGGACGGACGGACGGACGGACGACGGACACCGCACCACGGTATAAGCTCGGGCCAAGTGAGCTAAAAATGAGTCCCCTTGGTCCAAGGTTGCTCCAGACTAAATAAGGACAAAATCCCTGAATCCAGATGATCGAAGCAGGATTTTAAAGGTTTTACCTCTATTTCTCCTATTGGGCCCCACCCTTCTGTCCCCTGGGAGACCACACCCACTGCTTATACAAAATTGAGTCCCCTTGGCCCAAGGATGATCCAAACTAAATTAGGATAAAATCTCTTAATCCCTATGGTAGAAGAAGGATTTTTAGGTCACCTGAGCTTTGCTCCGTCGTCGTCCGTCGTCCGTCGTGCGTCGTGCGTAAACTTTTTACATTTTCAACTTCTTCTCAAGAACCAGTGGATGGATTTTTTCCAAACTTGGTCAGAATCATCCTTGGTAGATGAGGCTACACAATTGTAAAATTGGGATTACTACCCAAAACCCTGGGGCCAGGGCGGGGCCCCAAAGGGAAAATGAACAAATATTTCAAAAATCTTCCTCTCCAGACTCCGAGGTACTACAGTCATTTTCCCTGCATGGAAAGAAAGATCATCAGGGGCTTTACTTAAATTGTAAATTTCAGGACCCCCCAATTATTCGTTCTTCCTTGAAGAGGGGGTAAAATTTACTATAGTTTATGTAGGGAAATAACACTTTTGGGTATACTTTTTCAACTTTCTGTAGGGAATTATTTTTACTTGGTGAGAATTATCCTTGGAGGATGATGGTTCAAATTGTAAAATTGAGATTCCTACCCCAAGCCCTGGGGCCAGGGCGGGGCCCCAAAGGGAAAATTAACCAATATTTAAAAAAAAAATCCCCAGACTCAGAGGTACTACAATCATTTTCTTTGCATAGAAAGAAAATCATCAGGGGCTTTATCTAAATCGTAAATTTCAGGACCCCCGAGCTATTCGTTCTCCCTTTGGGAGGGGGTCAAGTTTACTATAGTTTATATAGGGAAATAACACTTTTGGGTATATTTTATCCATTATCAGCAGAAAATTACTCAATCTTAGTCAGAACCATCTTTGGTGAATGAGAGATTTACTTTGTAAAATTGGGATTCCTGCCCCATATCTAGCGGCTAGGGCGGGGCCCCAAAGGGAACAATTACCAATATTTTCAAATTCTTATCCTTTGATGACATGACAAGTATTGTATTTCACTTAGTTTACATGCTGATTTCCGCATCACATCTAAACAATAAAATAAAGCTTCCAGTACCTATTATATAATTAAGGTGACCGCTAAGGCCCTTGGGCCTCTTGTAAATGTTTTACCTCTATTTTCCCTATTGGGCCCCATCCCTCTGCCCCAGGGGGGCCACATCGACCGTTTATACAAAATTGAGTCCCCTTGACCTACGGATGCCAAATGCACATCATATAATAACAAATGTGCATCATATAATTATAAATGCACAACATAAATGACAAAAGCACATCATATAATGACAAAAGCACATCATATAATGACAAATGTACATCATATAATGACAAAAGCACATCATATAATGACAAATGCACATCATAAAATGACAAATGTACATCATATAATGACAAAAGCTCATCATATAATGACAAATGTACATCATGTAATGACAAAAGCACATCACATAATGACAAAAGCACATCATATAATGACAAAAGCACATCATATACTGACAAAAGTACATCATAAAATGACAAATGTTCATCATATAATGACAAAAGCACATCATATATTGACAAAAGCACATCATATAATGACAAAAGCACATCATATATTGACAAAAGCACATCATATAATGACAAATGCACATCATAAAATGACACATGTACATCATATAATGACAAAAGCAAATCATATAATGACAGATGTACATCATATAATGACAAAAGCACATCATATAATGACAGATGTACATCATATAATACATCATATAATGACAAAAGCAAATCATATAATGACAGAAATGACAAATGTTCATCATATAATGACAAAAGCACATCATATAATGACAGATGTACATCATACAATGACAAAAGCACATCATATAATGACAAAAGCACATCATATAATGACAGATGTACATTATTAGTTATACAGGTCTTTGGCAGGGTACCTGTATAACGAATTTGTCATACTGCAAAGCAATGTTCAAGCGTTGTCGTCTTGTAAAGACTCCCATCCTGTTTCCTTGCATCGAGATAAAAATGACCCAATGCCTCGTCTAATCTTGGCTTCGAGAAGTCCTCAAAATCTGTGTCTTGCTCCTTTTCGCTTAGGTATGCTCTGAATGTTTTGCTTGCTGAATTGTTACTTTTCTTTGTGTTTGTAGGTATAAGTGACGCCCGTTTTGTCTCAATTTCACTCTCCGTGTGGCTTGCAAACCGTTTCGCCATTTTGTTCATTGTTGACATTAGCAGACGAACGTTCTCCGGTGTGTTCGATTCGAATCTGCGAGTTATCTCCCTTACAACAGGCGCACGTGCTCTTATGTACCCCGGCAAGGATACTAACATAGCTTCAGGTACCTTGGCAATTCGACCAATCACCGTGCGACATTTTTCTTTGCAGTATGACAACATATAATGACAAAAGCACATCATATAAAGACAAATGTACATCATATAATGACAAAAGCACATCATATAATGACAAAAGCACATCATATAATGACAAAAGCACATCATATAACGAGCGAGTACCATATAGGATAGCTCTGGCGTTCAAATAGCGTGTGTCAGATCGCTGGTATGGACACAGAAGTTAGACTCGTTTATGTTGTTTGATTTATCTTACTAACGTCCTTCTATTACTGTGCAATGGTCAATGGAAATCTGAAAATTGGTGTGTTTTAATTAGAATAACACAATACGTTGCTTCCATTGTACTTGATGTACTGTGTCATTACTTTTGTACATTTCAACACTCAACATGTTCATTAAAAGCACATCTTCTTCAGGTCCAATGAGCTGGTATCTTTCATTTCCTCATAATAAACCGGTTTCACACTAACGTGGTGTTTAGTTTTCAATCCATACATACAGGCAATTGAACCTTGGTAGTATTTATACTAATCATTTCTGTGTAAGTGGAACCTAGACATTCGGGGATCTTTTGTTGTTTGTCAATTTACAGATGTTTCAATAAAGTATAATAATATATTTACACTAAGCATGTTTTACAAACATAGAGAATATTTTACATAAAACATACTATAGAGCAAAATGTTCACTAAGTGAGCATTAACTATTTCGCAAATAACTTCGCGAAAAATTAACACTAAGCATGCATGGGATATATGAAATGATTTACTCGTATCATGCTTTATAAAGCGAGTGTTTTACAAAAAGCATGCATTATGCGACGAATTATTCATTATAAACATGCAATATATATACAGACTTTTTACACTAAAGATGATATGATTATACAATATAATTACCAGGACTAAGCTTGCCTTACGAAAGGGAAAGTTACTCACACTTTACTCACCATGCATTATATAAATAGAATAACTTTAAACTCAACAAGCGATCAACACATACGGTACTTAATGGTTTACTTTCCGAACTTGTAAATATTCCGAGAATAGCTACTTTCTGTTTCATATTTCCCCGAAACCGACCAATAGAATACAGGTAGGTTACTACGTACTTTAGAGTGCTTTAGAGTGGCTTATGTTTGCTAGATAGGGCGCTATATCAAATGTTGTATATCATTATTTATTATTACTATTTACAAATTCCCTTGTGCGTTGAAATAGAAGACGATGTTTTCATTCCTATGAAGAACTTCACACAATCATGATTTTGAAAATAAACATTGCTGCCTGATATACACAAGTACCCATGTTTACAGGGACAGAGGAAAGAAGCATGGAAGTAGGACGTCAAACATAAGAGATCAAACCAGGTGCATTGGCCGACTGCCATGTAAACTTAAATCCAATCAAAGTACTGAGACACTGAAGCAATAGGAATGTGGTTTCCCTGTTGTGATAGTAGTACTGCAGAAATGTGTTTTAGAGTGTCTATGTACAGAACTGATCAAAGTTATTTCGATACGTTGTTTTGATCAATCAAGATGACGTGAGGGAATAGGGACTGAACCAGTGTTTGGCTTGCTATAGAAAGAAGTTTGACACCAAATATCAATTAACTTGATAGAGATATTATGTTTAAACAAGAAAATGTAAACAAGTCATTTGAATTTCCCAATATTTAATTGCTTTGTGTAACCAGCCGTTCATACGAAACTTTCTTAGAAGCAAATACGTTGCAAAGCTATTGATGTCAGACAGACATAACTGTTATAAGAATCTACTATGGAATTATAAACAGGTTTCAATAGGAACAGTTATGGTCACATTAGTTCACATTAACGAACATAACAATATAGTCTCAAGGGTTTCTTTATAATCCTCCCCTAACCTCCACCACGACTCCATTAAGGGTTAAACTTATATTTAGCGGACGAGTAATGTACGTTGTCCACAAAACCAACTTTAATTTGGAGAAAAGTGACCGTGTTTAAGTTACCGGGATTCTTTGGTCATCGCTCTGATGTGGAACAAAAAAGTAAGTTTGATACATTTACTGTTACAGAATATTCTGATAGAATCTGCTTATTTACTAATAGACGAAGGACTGAATTGAGCAAATTGAAAATATATAACATTTGACTCATAGATTGTTCTATTTATAGCTGTACAATAACAATGCGTAATATATTGTAATTGAATTTGAATCTAAATTGTAGTTAACCAAACTTTGAAAATGCTATATTACAACTTTTTAGTGAATTATAACTTCTTAATGCTATTTTAAATAGAAAATAATATCACAATAACATTAAAATTGATTAAGTAATTATGTTAAAATTAAAACACGGATCAAACTGCCAACCTGCCGGTTACTGGTCTGGGGAACAACCGTGGACAATTTCAACACTGTTCAGCTTAAGTTATAATATTTTGATCTCTTTGAACAGTGCAATGTCTTTGATTCGCTTTGATTTCTGTGTAATAACAGTTGGTGCCTGATATAAAACTACATTTCTTTTACTTGTGTTGGTAACTTTTTCTTAGAAAAACTATTTTCCCTTTCATTTTTTCTGCGAAACGGACCAATAGAATGCAGGTACGTTGATTTTCTGATAATAGTTATCACCTGTTGATATAATATCATTTGAAATTCCCCAGTGAATAGGTTATAAATAGAACCAAGGCCATACATTTTGGTAGCGGTAAGTCCCGTGACGAACGTGTTATTGCTATTTGTAAAGTGTTATGTTACAACGGACACGCATTATACCTACTGGCTTGTTTGTTTGTAATTTAAGGCCCATGCAACAGCCATGGTCATATAAGGACGTAACATATACTGCCTTGAAAAGGAGCGAAACAATGTTCACTGGCGGTCAGAACCGGTACAAAATGACATGGGACGGGTATATTTTAACACTTCATTCCTTCGGACGTATTTTTTAGTACATGAAATCGTTTCTTTCGAACTATTTTATCGACTGTTTTTTCCTGTTTGTCACTGTAGACTTGACAAATAAATTGATTTGTCTCATTTATTTGGAGAGTTACTGAATCTAATTCATAACTTATCACACAAGAAATAAATTCATGCAATAAAATTCAAATCAACAATTACGTTTCAAAACAAATGTTGTTTAAAGAGGATATTGCACTATCCTAACAAATACTGCACAGTGGCGGTGCGTAACAAAGCGATATTTTATATTCAAGTCTGTTAAGGATTTACCCCTAGATACTTCCTAATATTTAACAACTGTCAACAATAAACTGAAATTAGAGGGAAAGGTTTGTAAAATCTATATCAATCTTTGATAAATAAAAAAAATGCATTTTTCAAACAAAATATTGCTTAATATCAAAAATAGTGGTTGATGTTTACATGCAATAATTCCTGATATATCCGACATCTGTACTGGATGAACAGAAGGCATCGATGACAGAAACTCCTAAAAGATGAACATAAGGCACATCCGTGATTGCACCTGAAAACGTTGGTAACACTGCAGTATACAGCTCTTTCATACTTCTAGGACTCATTGGGGATGCTAGGGGCCAAAACGAGTGGCAATCCAAACTGGTCTAATTTACTGTTGAAACAAAAGGGAAACTCCGTAAACCATCTTAATTATATAAATTAAAAAACAGAGAATTTCTGGTTAATTTCAAATCAGTAATGAGTACAGTGTTTATATGAACCGTACCATTACTCGAAAGAGATCAATTAGGCCAACAAAGTTACGGCAAACCTTAAGCCTGGGGACTATGAAATCCATCCGCACCTTACATTCTGAAAGATAAACGTAATACACAAAGGTGATTGCTCCTATAAACTTTGGTAATAGATAGACTACAGCATGCCAAAAATGAATTTCACTGTACCCATTGTACCTTCTAGGACTCATCGGTGATGGTATGGGTCAAACAGGCGGACATCCAAATTGGTCTAACATACAGTAGAAACAGAAGAGGAGTGCATAAGCCCCTGAATTACATGAATTTCAAAAAATAGCAGAGTACTGATTAATTTCAAACTGATAATGAGTAAACTGTTTATAGTAAGAACCGCGCCACAACTAAAAAAAAAGAGATAATTATTGCAAACCTCGGGGACTACACACTAGACGTTAAAGAACGAAATAGGGTTGATGAAGCATCAACAGCAATGACAGCCGACAACTACCATTATTCTACCAATGTGATGTAGCTGATCAGAAAATGATGGCAAAAGGCGGCTACGTAACCAGTAGAACGAAGAGCAGAGGATCCACATGTGGCAGCAACGATAGAAGGCGGTATCCTCTGCTCACTGAAATTTGTAAAACCACGTGAGCTCATGGAGCATTTAAATTCGCGATTCTTCTCAAGAAAGTCCAAATATAGCCTAAGAATTGTCCGGAGCATTCAAGGTAGATATATTTGCTAGAAGTCTTTCCATAGTGAAGGCACCCTATATTCTTGCGAATATAACCAATCTTACTGTTTGGTTTATAAAACAGAATAAAACGACTAGTATTAGGGACTAGTTTCAGATATAGCGTTCACACACACACACACACGTGCGCGCGCTGTTATATGGTCAGTCAAAAAGCATCAACAAGTCCTGATAATTATGTATATGAGTCTTGATGAGGCAAATCAAAATTCTACAACAGGAGTTACGGAGGGAGGGGGACTTAATTCTTTCTTAAGTGTTGGTGATAAAGTAGTCGCTCCAAGTCAAGGTTATTCCAATTTCCGGTAATTTTCCTAGCCAAATTCTAGATTTTGAAAATTCTTCATTGCTTTGAACAGTGCAGCCCATCTACTAGTGTTGTTTTATTGTTACAACGCTTCTACAATAACCTGTGTTTAATTGCCGGGATCAACACAGACGTTATCGGAAGTTTAGTTTGGAATATTAAAAAATATGTATTTGATATTCAACATTTTCAACAATATTCAAATATTTTATATAGACGATGGTGTATAGTTTTAGATTCATGCATACACATACTACTCATTAGTATTTAACGAACTTTCTGAATTTGTCGTTCTTCTTACTATTTTTGTTTCTTTCTTCTTATTCATTCTTCCGCTAAACTGTTTCGGAAACATCATCATCATCATCATCATCATCATATCCATAAGCAGACATTTAAAATATTGCCGTGTATAATGACATACACTAAGATTTTGTTTTAGAAATGTTTGTATATACATTCTTTACATAGTGAGTAGTGTTTATGATAATAAAGTCTTTGTCCTTGTCATTGTTTAGTCAGTCAAATGTTTGAACGGTAATTTTTCTTCAAAACTACATCAACAATTGTTGATATTTCTTAGTTACACATCCTCGCATGTATTGTATAATGAAAGATTGTCACGAAGCATAAAGAAGTATTTACAACTAAATAATAAACTAAGGCTATCTAGTAATTTAGTTAACCGTCCGAAATGAAACTGCTTGTGATATTTTCTTAGAATAACTACTTTCTGTTTCATATTTTCACGAAACGGACCAATAGCAAGCAGGTACGTGGACTGTCTTATTTCATAAGTTATAAATAGAATGTCACAATATCTATTTTGGTAGCGGGAATTCCACTGGCGAGCATGATATAAACGCGTACCCATGTCTACAAGAGACAAGTCTTCGTCAGTGAAGTGTAGACGTAAAACACCAAACAACCAACCAACCAACCTACAGGGATCACACAGAAAGAAGCAGGCATGGAGACTGGACGTGTTTTATGGCTGGTCATCGCTACCATTATGATACTAGGCTTTTCACAGGCCAGATACATGTAAGGATTTCAACGGGTTAAGTTTTTGGCGTTTGACAGTCAAAAACATTAAGTAATTCAAAATAGTATATTGACCAAATGTCATCGATATTTGTTAGCTTTAATGCAAAACGGATATACACTTAATAAGGGTGATATAATATTTACTTGGGATCGGGATATGTTCAAAATGACATTGAACTGGTACTTATTTTGTACTGCTTCAAACATGTATTTTAACCGAAAAACTGAAAGGAAAAATTTCATCAATTCATTGTGAACTGTTCAACATGAATATTTGGAAGAAAGCACATTGGCTAACATAATGGTGTATATAATGTCAAACCATGTAATTGAATAACGGACATTCGAGGTCGAAGTTTTTAACAAGCTAAATAGAGTACGTATTGCCGATGACATGACCAATTTGACATTGAGCTACGGTTTCCAGTTCTAGATATTTTTGTTGTGTGTCACTCTAGTTTATATTAACTCTCTCACAATTTAGACGTAATAAATTGATAACCCTCGCTCATTGGAAAGGGGGTAAAAAGGTAAGCAATGCTTCACTTCACGATAAATATCCGAAATAATGTCATCTTATATGAACAAATTACCTTTGGTTTGTTGGTGTTGGTGTGCCATGAATGAATTGCTCTCTCGTTTTCCATTGTTTGTTATTTACCAACTCTGATTAATATTTTTTTGTTATTTTTTCTCACAGAGTCAAAGACAAATCTATAGAGGATAACAATAAGGCAGCGGTGACAGGCGACACTTTCAAACTTGAAATCAACAAACAAAAAGTAGAAGATGACGCATCCATAATGACGACATACGACCAAATATTAATCGTATATGAAAGCACTGTAGAAAATGATGAAACGATGACAGACGACGATAACATAACAGTTGTCAACGAACAATCAGTAGAGGATGAACATGAGACAGCGACGACAGACGACGGGGTTCTCCGAACACCAAAAACCATAAAAAACACGATAGTCTCTAGCTTGGCGGACCTTAGCCATAAGCCAGAAAGTCCAACTGCGGATAAAGAAACGGCAAGAACAGACAGGTCAAATATTCCAAGGTAGGTACACTTGATATAGACTTATTTGAGGTCTAACTCCCGGTACCGATGATGTTTTTGTTTGTTTGTGGGTTAACGTCCTCGTAGTTAGCCAGGCACAGGGACCAGACAATTTGTTACAGCTATATTTGGACCTAAACTAAGATTCTCTTTATCAATAACGTGTATGTCGTTGAAATATGATAGGTCCATGTCAAGTCTTGTCTGGCTATTAAACAATAAATATCTATTCTTTACAATGTATCCTATTACTTTTGGCCAACATTAGCTGTTAGAATTTCGACATTATATACACTATGCATTTTATTTCTTTAGTCCGTAAACTTCTCACTAACCTTTGAACTACATCGGTGAGAGTTTTATGGTGAGAGAAACACTAAGTAATACCGTATGTAAGGGCTCCAGTTACCGGTCTGTTGGTAATCACGTATTGGTTCGATTTGTAATGCTTCACTCAAAGTCGGCCTATCCTGGAAATATTGAATGGCCTATCCTGGAAGGATTGCATATCTCTTTGAATAACTATGAGATTGTTATTTATTGCGCGTGTAAACGTTCGTTTGAGAACACTCACTGTTTCAATCCTTATATGGAAAATAAAACTTAAAATTAAATCATTACCTTTTAAAAGTAGTGACATACGGTAAACCATCTTACTGGTAGGAGAGATTAGCTCTGGAAATCTCCACTACTTTATAGATTTCAATTAAGTGATTGTTAATAAATTGTATGAAATGAAGTATATGAATTGGGAAATTCATATGCGTTGTGAATATTAATGAATATTTGTGTTTTGTGTTTTTCAGGAGCAAGACAAGACACATGATTCGAAAGAGAGACCTTCATCAGTGGGAGACACTGCTGTATGGTTGGTCATAAAGTCACACACCATCTCATGATCATTAGAATCAACTTAGTCCTAGTGATCCTGTTTAGGGTTTAGCGGAATGCAGCTCCAGATGAGCAAGGCATTGCCAACCGGAGTATCCATATCGGAAAGATTTGAGAAATGCAAATCCGAACTCTCCCAAAGTTCACAATCTGAGTTACAGCACCGGAGAAATGCGTAATGCAACTCCAGATGATCCAGGCATTTACAACCGGGTTACCATATCGGAAAGTTTTACGGAATGCAAATCCGAATTCTTCCGGCTCCACAACCTGAGTTACAGGTAATCCAACTTCAGATGATGCAGGCATTTACAATCGGAGTTACCATATTGGAGTATCCGACTTACCCGGGGTTCACAACCGGAGTCAAGGCAGTAGAAACAGAGCTTTCCTCTATTAGGGATGGGTAGTCTTGATCCCGAGTCGAAATCAAATTTGTATCAGACGATTATTGGAAGCAGCTTCGGTTTTCTTCAAACCCAGAATTAGGGAGGAAATAACTGCAATACGTTCGTATATCAGTGAGAACCTAGCGGGAATGGAAACAAGCCCGTTTTTTTAAACCCGTCGTCATATCTCCTGTAGTCCTGTAGGAAGCAAAGAGGTATGAAGGGTACTTGGTCCATTTCTCCAAATGATCACGTGTTCAATAGTGAAGCAAGTTACGAGGAACGTTTATTTCCCACTCAAGTTCTAGTCCTAGTGCTAATCGTCGTTACTTTGAACTATGCAGCAAATCAGTGTATATCCAGACAATGCTCCGACACAACCAACGGTTCATTTTGTCTGATTATGACAACGCACCTCCAATAGCGTGTGTCAGATCGCTGGTATGGACACAGATGTTAGACTTGTTTATGTTATTTGATCTTAGAAACGTGGTTCTTTTACTGTGCAAATGGTCAATGGAAATATAAAAAGGTGCGTTTTAATTAAAAATAACACAAAACGTTGATCGCAGTGTGCTTAATGTAGCGTGTCATTGTTTTGTACATTATAAAACTCGGTATATTCATTAAAAGCACATCCTATTCAGGTCCAATGAGTTGGTATCTTTCATATCCTCATAATAAAACAGTTTCATACTAATATGGTGTTTAGTTTTCAATTCATACATACAGGCAATTGAACCTTGTTAGTATTTATGCTAATCATTTCTGTGTAAGTTAAACATCGATAGTCGGATATCTTTTGTTTGTATGTTAATTGACACATGTTTCAATAATGTATAATGATGTATTTTAATAACTAAGCATGTTTTAAAAACATGGAGACTATTTTACATAAAACATACTTTGTTAATATAAAGAAAGGTTTACACTAAGTGAGAACTAACTATTTAGCAAAAAACTTAAAGCTATAGCGAAAAATTAACTCTAGGCATGCATATAATATATAAACTAATTTACTTTTATCATGCTTTATAAAGCAAGTGATTTACAAAGAGCATGCATTATGCAACAAATTATTCATACAAAGCATGCATTACTATAGTATACAATTAACCTTTTTACACTTGCAAAAGATTATTATATGATTATACAATATTAATACCAGGACTTCGCTTGCCTTATGAAAACGAAAGTTACTCACACTTTACTCACCATGCATTATATAAACCGAATAACTTGCACACGTGCACTTCAATAAAAAGTATTGGTGTTTGATTGCCAAACATTGAAATT